CCCACCCCACCCCACCCCCGCAGCTCTTGATGGAGAGCTAGCGTCCCACCCTCTCTCCAGGGACACAGCTCTGACTGCTGGTCTTGGCCTCCTCACCAGTGCGTTTCCCAGCTCCAGCCTCCTGAAGAGGGTAGTTACAACACTTTTTAGCCAAACGGGTCAAAAGTCTCTGTGATTAAGACAGTGGATCATAGGTCACCACAGTGAATGCCGGAGGAGCCCAGCCAGGGAAGAGCACATTCCTAAGCAAAGCTCTGCCTGGAGCAGATGGGCCCCCTGGCAAGTTGTGAGAGGCCCACCTGCCCGGTAGAGCTGGCTCCTGAGGACCTGGTTTGAGCAGGGCACCCCCTGAAATAGCCTCCACAGAGGCTCCACTGATGAGGAGAGGCGGGCTCACCCCCACCCACTGAGGCCCCTCTGCCTCCGGGAGCACTGAGTGCTGGCGATGCAGGAGGATTGTCACAAGCAGCCGCTTGGGGCACACGACCACCTGTCCTCCATCTGGCCTGACAGGAGCCCTGGGATTGGTGGCACTTTCTGTCCCGGGGAAGCAGAAAAGCAAATGACCTCCGTGGCAGAGATTAAGCAAGAGGCGGAGCAGGGCTGGAAGGTGGGAACAGATTCCAGCCTCAGAGCTCTGCCCACCTGCAGGGAGGGACCTGCATGGGCCACGGCCACTGTCTTCTACGGAATGGACTCACAGGGGGGTACAGCAGGTACAGCAGCTCCCAGGGGAGATACTGCATCTCTACAAAAGGCCGCAAGGGGAGCAGCGCTGGTGCAGAGCTGGAAAACGCAAAGGGATTCTTGGGGAGCAAGAAGCGAGGGCCAGTTTCCCTTGGGTGCACGCTCTCCTAGCCTAGAACCTTCTCCCCACCCCACTGCCTAGACCCTGACCTCCTCATGGTCCGCCTTATCCTGTTTCCACCCCTAGAGGAGACGGGCAGAGGGCAGCCCTGGCACGGGGCGGGAGGGCCCTGTTCTCAGCGGCCTCGGAGGCTGCTCTGGGAGTCGTGCTCATCCCTGAGTTCTTTCCAGCTCATTCCGTGTCTCTCCTTCCTGCCCCTCCTATCTTTGGCCATCTGCTGGCTGACAGGAAGCCATCAGAGGGAGGGAGGCAGGGGGAAGGGAAGAACTTGTCAGTGTGACTTTATGTGGATGCCCGGAACACTCCGTGGCATCCCACATTTAAGCCTCCGCACAGCCGGATGATGTGGGTATGTTAATCTCATTCTACAAATGATAGAACTGGCTGAGAGAGATGGAGGACCTTGTCCCTACACCCATAGCGCCTCAGCGGCACAGCCCAAATTCTAGCTCTGGGTGAAATACTTTGTTCATCCTGCTGGGCTACGTGTTTGTTGCTGTGCAGAGATTTAAATTTACAGAAAAACTTGAGCACAAAGCATAGAGGCTTCCCACGTGCCTCCGTTTCCCCTTCCTGCGCCCAGTGTCACAGCTGGCATTGGTGTGCGGTGTGCTTGTGGTGCAGCCATTCTTCAGAGCTGGTGGTGCCGCTGTCCACATGCAGAGGGTCTGAACATCACAGAGACGGGGCTCCCCTGGAGGAGGCTGCCATGTTCTCTAGCACCTCAATGCCAAGGGAGCAGAGCCTCCTCCTCCCGGGTTGGAAGGAGGGCAGCAAGGCTGATTATCATGGGGAATGTTCAGGGCAGCCCTATGCGTGGGGCTGAAGGGGCCACAGACCCACTACCCACTATATAGGGTCTCACTATGTAGTTCAGGCTGGACTGGATTCACTATGTAGCCCAGGCTGGCCTCGAACTCATGGGGATCCTCCTGCCTCAGCCTCCCGAGTGAGGGGGGATTATAGGTGTGGCTACCACACCCAGCCCCTAATGCTTTCTGAAGTCTCCTTCCCACTTAAGAGTCTGTGTACACAATACACATGCACAGGCCTCACCCCCTCCCTCTCTCTGCTTCAGAGTCGCACTGGTGCTACGACATTCAAGCCAACAGCAATCCGGGCAGCTGCCAGAGTGAGTCCTACCAGCCCTGGGGGCAGGCCCTTCTGCAGGGCAGGGTGTCCAGGTGGAGGTGGAGACTCAGGGAGGGTGGGGAGGATGAGGGTGCCCCTCCCCCACATCAGCCTCTAGCCCCCCCCCCCAGTGGTGCTCAGGGAGCACGGGAACAGGGAGCTGAGCCCTCACCCACCCTCCTGTCACTGAGAGGCTAAGCGCCTGGGAAATAACTCAGCAGCAGCATTAAAGAGAGAAACATATTTTGCCATTTTTCCCAGCACAATGGAGAGCTGGTTCTATTCCAGGGATGTCTTTTCAGGGGAACCAGGGAGATGGTTCTTGGCACTTTTTATTCAGATGACCAATTTCCGTGCAGTCTGCTTTCTTCCGGCCCAGCCCCGCCCTGCGCAGCTTGGAGTTGCCGGTGTAGGATGCCAGGCTCCTGCAGGAGTCACTGCCTCCCCACTAGCTGGTTACCACCGAAATACCCCTCCTGGAGCCTGACCGCACCCCAGAGCTTACAGTCTCTACACACACACACACACACACACACACACGCACACACACACACACACACGCACGCGCACACACTGCCACTCGTGGGTATGTGGGCCTGGCTCCTGACCCACAGCCCCACGCTGTCCCTGCTCAGGGCCTGACCAGTGGGGTGGAGAGTGCCAGAAGAGCCACCAGTCCCCCATTGACATTGTCACCCACAAGGCCAGGCTGGACCACAATCTGAAACCCTTCTCCTTCTCCGGCTATGACAAGAAGGAAAAGCGGACTGTCAAAAACAATGGGCACACAGGTGGGTGACAGGTGCGCGGGCTCCCAGCAGGGCTTTGGTGCAGAGACCCCTGAGACCCTGAGGACAGGGAGGGCAGGGCTCCAACGGGCAGGGTGGGCCAGGCCCAGTACCCCTTTGCTGAAGTAGGGCTTGAAAACCCCACTGGGGAGGGTGGGGCAGGCAGAGAGGACTTCCAGGAGGAGGAGGGTGGAGGAGACGCGTTCTAGCTGCTGCTTCAGTCATTTCCCCAGACCAGGCTGGGGCGGGGGAAGGGAGAGTTCCAGGAAAAAGGAGCACGGTTAGCAAAGGCACGGAGGCGTGAATGCGAGGCGGAGGTGTGAAACAGCTCGGTTGGGGGAACGGAGTGTCAGTGGTCATGGAAGGAGGATGGGGAGTCGTGCCGGAGGGCCGCGCAAGGCCCTGGGAGGAGGTCACCGGGGCTGAGGAGGCTGGACGTTGCCCCGGGGTCACAGCGGAGGAGGCACCGGGGAAGAGTCCCATTTGGGGGCAGCAGCGAGTGTGCAGGAGAGGCGGAGCCAGCAGGAGCCAGTGAGGTGGTCGGGGACGCAGGCTGCGCCACCCTGTCCCAGCCCAGCTCAGGGTTGAGAGAGAAGGTCCTGTGTGGGTGGCGCTGGGATGGGCAGCGAGGCCGAGGGGAGGCCGTGTGAGAACTCTGCCCCCCTCCGTCCCCCAGTGATGGTGTCGCTGGAGCCTGATGCCAGGATCAGCGGAGGAGGACTGGCCGCACAGTATCGGGCCACGCAGTTGCACCTGCACTGGTCCGAGAGCCTAAACAAGGGCTCGGAGCACAGCCTCAACGGGCAGCGCTTGGCCATGGAGGTGAGGGTCCCTGCCCGCACTGCAGGGCTCCGGGTGTGGAAAGGGGGCTCCGGCCCGCTCACCTCCCCTCTCTCTATCCCCTCTCACCACCAGATGCACATCGTGCATGAGAAGGACACAGCCAAGGAAGAGGCCCCGAACCCTAAAGACAAGATCGCAGTGCTGGCCTTTCTGGTGAAGGTAGGGCTCCCAGTTCCTAGCGGAGAAGCTGAGCCCCAGGATCCAGAGAACCCCTGTGACTCCCAGAGGCGGCGCTCAGAGCCTCAATTCTAGAAGCTGCCGGCCCGCTCCCGGGGACCCTCCGCAGCCACCTTCCCTCTCATTGCAGGAGGGAAATGAGTTCAATGAAGGTTTCAGGCTCCTGGTGGAGGCGCTGGACCATATCTCCAAACCGGGTGAGTCCAGACAGGGGAGGAGGCTACCTTTCCCCACAAAGGAAGGGGCAGGGTGGCAGGGCAGCTGCTCTCAGAGCGAGGTGTGTGAGCGGTTCTCTCCCCCACCCAGAAATGAACTTCACCATGGAGGCAAGCAGCATAATGGACCTGCTGCCCAAGGAGAACAAACTGAGGCACTACTTCCGCTACCAGGGCTCGCTCACCACGCCAACCTGCGATGAGACAGTTGTCTGGACTGTGTTCAAGGAGCATATTCAGCTCCGCAGAGACCAGGTATGCAGGGACCCAGCAAGGTGCCACCTCTCGCTGCCTGGCTGCCCAAGTCTTCTCCTTCCCAAGTCTTACCTCTATCTGGCCCAAGGGTGCCCTGGGTTGGGGGAGCCCCAGGGAGTGAAAGTCCATTGGCTCAGTCCTCTGGGGAAGCCGATGAGAAAGATCTAGGCTATTCCTGCACTGACGGCTGGGTGGGAGGCCATGGAAGGGGTGGTGAGAAAAGGTTTCTAGAAAAGTCACGGGGAGCTGGCCAGGATAGGTAGGAAGCCGTTGTCCTAGGGAGAGATGTGAGCTTGGGGGAAGGCCTGACCTTGGGGCTGGCCAGTAGTTGCTTAGTAGCCATGGGAAGTAGTTCATTCATTCAACACATGGTACTAGGTCTGCTCTACTCTAGCCGCTGGCGAGAGAGCCGTGACCCAAAAGGACCCTCATCCCTGCCCTCGCCTTTCCATTCCAGATCAGTGACCAGTGGCGTCAATGTCACTGCCAGTGGGAATTTGCTAGGAATACTGATTCTCAGGCCCACAGACCTACTCAATCAGATATTCTGGGGTGAGGCCCGGGTGTGTGGGGCCCACCAAGCCCCCCACAGATGCTAACCTGTGCTGAATTCGAGAGCCACTGTGCTGCAGTTACAGTGATGACAGCAGTAATAGAGCGACCCAGGCCCTGCAAGCTGTGGGCTAGGGGAACTTAATGGAACGCCCCCAGCCACGGCACACACTTTACATCCCAGTCGTCATAACAACCTTGAGAGGTAGTGGCTTTGAGCCCTTGTTCCCGCTGTGGCTCAGCAAGGCGAGGCACCTGGCCCGAGGTCACAGCCGAGCAGGGCGTGTGTGCACCTGCCCCTGCCCGCCCGCCTGCCGAGCCCTGCCCCTTCCGCAGATCCTGGCGTTCTCCCAGAAGCTGTACTATGACCAGGAGAAGAAACTGCATATGACGGACAATGTCAGGCCCCTGCAGCCCCTGGGAGACCGCCTGGTGTCCACGTCGCGGGCCGCTGGACAGCTGCTGCCCACGGCCCTGCCTGCCCTGCTGCTGCCCACGCTCACCTGCCTGGTGGCCAGCGTCCTCTCATGATGGTCAATCCTGGACGGTGCTCCCTGACCTCAGCCTTCAGAGGACTTGGCTTCCGGTCTTTATGTTTCCCAGGGTGGACTTTGGATGATTAAAATATGGGTATATTTTTGGAGAAACCTTTTGCAAGCCTGTTTATAGCTTCCCACAGCGGCCTCTGCCTGTGCCTATGACCCCACCCGTCCCAAGGCAGGGGCTCTGAGGCCTGCAGAGTTCTTCTAAACAGGCACTGCCCGCCCGCACCCGCCCCCTCCAGTGTAAGTTCCTGTCTCCACCCCACTCCCTTCGGCCCGACTCGTGGGGTGCCCACATGGTGAAAGGTGTGGGAGTTCCAACCTCCTCTCTTCAGTGGGGGAAACTGAGGCCCAGGAGGGCGCAACTGGACAGAGGCCCCTGGGGCCAGGGCAGAGCCCACCGCAGCAGCGGCCCAGTGCCTTCTCTGTCCTGGAGAGAGCAGGGTCGCACGTGGCCCGGCTCAGGCAGGGTGGGGAGCCGGGGCTGCATTTGTTGGCAAGAGCCCTTCTTCAGCATTTACGGCCCAGGCATTGGAGATAGGGCCGTGGAAAAGCAGAGGAAAGTGCCTGCCCTCCTGGTGCACAGACCTGTGCAGAGTCAGACTGTAAATAAAAGAGACACAGGGACACATCGTCCGGGATGTCGGAAGGCGGTCAGTGCTGCGGAGACAGTAAGTCAGGGAGAGCAGAGGCCGGGACAGGGACATGCGGGAGAATGGAGGAGGCAGGGAGGCAGGCTGTCTGGAGACTGCGTGCTCGGGCGGCAGGAGGCTCCGGCTGCGCAGGCACAGCCAGGAGCGAGGGGGAGGAGCAGCCAAGCTGTGCGCAGAGGGAGCGGAGGGCACAGACTCGGTCTTGGAGGACCCTGTAAGGACCCCGGAGCCACCAGAGACATGGGACATGGTCAGCGGCACAGCGGAGCAGGGGCTGTGGCGGTGAAGGCAGAGGGAGGCACAGTTCCCAGGCTGCTGCCCAAGCCCAGGAGAGGGCTTGCGGATGGGTCGGCAGTGGGGGTGACAGGAGGAGGAGTGGGACCTACCGGAAGGACCGCCCCTCCCCCACGCCACTGCGTCTCTAGTGGTCCTCTTCCCCCCTGGGACTGGGCAGGGAGAGGCGGGAGGGAAGGGTCCCTGAGAAAACCAGGGAGAAAGAAAGAAGGGACTCAGGACAGGCCCTGCAGCCCAGGCCCTGAGAGCCCCCAGACTGTCAGACCTCAGGATCCACGCAGGCCGGGATTTTGCAAGAACACAGACCTGCGGAAAGGGCCACCTGGTGGCCTTGGTGTGCTTTCGCATACTCCCAGAGGCCTGGGTCCTAGAAGGCCTTGTGGTCTGTTGCCTAAACCTCCCACCATATGCCCCCCAGTCCCTGGCCACCCCAGCGAAACCCAGGGAGAAGGAAAAGAGCTGCTCTCCCTCCTTACCACCCTTCTCCCTTTCCATTTGTGACCAAGGATAAGTCCGCCCCCCACCAGTGACCACACAGCTGGGGGAGGGTGTTGCGGTTGCCGTGGCAACATCAGGCAGCCTGTTCTGCAGGGGGTGTGCAGATGGCCAGCAGAGGCTGTTTGCCTTTGCCTCCCACACAGCCTGCGGGGGAGGAGGGACCAGGCTGCCTCCCCCGGCTCAGGACTTTGAGGTCAGACCCGTGTCTCCCACTCTCATCTGCGTGTCCACCCCATTTCCTGGCGGACAGCAGCAACCAGCGAATAACGTGGCAGCAGAACCAGGACATCTCAGCTCTTTGCAAGAGGGAAGCCCTGGCTTCTCCCACCCGGGGGGGAGCACCCCCACCCCTGCCCATCCCCGTCTCCTAATAATAAACCCGGCGGGGGAAGCCAGAATGGGCACAGCTCGTCCACAGCCCGGGCCACCTCCCCATGTCCTGCCTGCCCTCCCTGCGGCTTGGAAGCAGAGCAGGTGCTGCCAGGGCACAACTCCCAGCAAGGTCACCTGGCCGTCACCTGGCCAGCCGCCGCAGGAGCCAGCAGTGTGCTCCCAAGGCTCCGCCCAACGCCCTGGAGCCCGAGGTTGACTGGTGAGCACTGCTTTGGCCCAGCGAGTATTCATAAGCGCTTCCCCCGGTGAGAGTAAATTCACCCCCTCTGCACTGCCCCGCCTGTCCCTCCCTCCCCCGTTGCCCCACGCCCTGGTTGGGGGGTAGCGCAGCAGAAGGGACTGGCTTGTGACTCATCTATCTTTCGGTCTCTGAGAGATATTGAATTGGCCTGGGCCCAGTTCTCCCCTGAGCCAGTTCTCTTTGTGGGTGCAGGGCTACCGGTGTCAAAGGGGGCCTAGTTTGGGTCCTCAAAGCCCTACTTTCATTCACTTCTTCAATGACCATGTTGGGTGTGTGCTTACCTGTACGTACACACACACACACACACACACACACACACACACACACATTCACTGCAGCTCCCAGCTGTGGGGAAGCCATAGGGCCCTTTTCTGGAGGACTTTTGGCCCAGGATGTGAAGCACATGGTTGAATTCCTGCTATGTGCCAGGCGTGTGCCTTCCAATCCCACTGAAGGGGTGCAATTTCTCCCCCTGCATGGGTGGGGAAACTGAGGCCCAGAGAAGGATCAGGGCCTGGGTCCCACGCACTTCCTCCGCGCCCGTGGCCCGTTTTCTCCTGCGGCAGAGATGTCCCGGGAAGATGTGACGGGGATCGGGTGGGTGCGGCCTGCGGCGCTCTGTCCCACCCGGTCTCCACCTGCTGCTTTCTATCCCAAAGGAATGGGGCACCTCCCTGGCGTCCTGTTGAAACTTAGCGTCCCGCGGGAGGCGGGATAAAAATACTCTCCATGTATTTAGACAACTCTTGGAAGATAAACTTCCGCATCTGGGCTCTGGGTCTGCACACTCGCCGGCCCGCTTCCTGTGGCTCTGATCTGACCACGTGTGTGGAAGGAAGAGGAAGGGGAGGAAGGGTGCGAAGGGTGCCAGAACCCGGGCGCGGAGGGCGTTCGTGTGCATGCGCACGTGGACTGTGTAAGCTGTCACCAGACTTCAGGGGACGGCTAGACAGAGACACTTGTGAACGGTGCCGGGTGGGAGGCCACCTTAGGCCTCCACCCCAGGGGGAAGAGACAAGGAAGCTGGCACGAAGGCGTGGCTCTCCACTCCCGGCCTTGGATTAGCCACATACACAAGGGCTTGGTCCTGCCATCTAAGTCTCCCCCCAACCTCCCTCTGCACATGTCCTAGTGTCCTGTGGCTGCTTGTTTATCCGAGCAGGGGACAAAGGCGTGACCTCCTGGCTAAGGAGGATGTCCCGGGCCCGTGCAGGCCAGAGTGGGGCTTCCGCTGGAAGAGACTGAAAGATAAACGAGTCACAAGCCAGTCCTTTCCGCTGCGATTATGCACATGGGAGGCCTTTCGGGTCACTCTGAGTACTGGCTGCTGCCAGGCTTGAAAGAACAGGGAGAGGGCGAGGGGGGACACAAGGGAGGGATCCTGGGTATGTCTTAGAACAAGATGTATTTTCAACAAGATTTAATCTTACCACAAACACCGTTATTTCCTCTGTGCTAGAGAGTAAGAGAAAACCTAGACTAGGTCCTTCCTCTGAGAGTCCTGACCATAGGCAGACACATCAGGCACAGGGGTATAGATCTATGAGAAAGAGACAGAGAGAGGGGTACAAGGGCCCTGGAACAGAGACTTCAGAGTCACATGACCTGGGGTTGAATCTCCACCCACTGCCCCGAGGTGTCTTTGATATTTCAGTTCACCTGAGCCTCAGTGCCCTTATCTATAAAATGGGGTGATGACAGCCTTTACTGCATAGGGTTACTGTAAAGACATGAAGCCAAATGTGTTGGCACACACCTGTAATCCCAGCCCTTGGGAGGCTGAGGCAGGAGAATCGCTGAGAGTTCAAGATCAGCCTGGACTACATAATAAGGTAGACCCTGTCCCAAAAAACATAAAACAAATGAGCAAAACAAACAAAAAAAAACCTGGGCCAGTGACCTGGGCAAGAAGATGGACTCAATAATTTGTCATCATTATTAAAATTCCTCTCATTAGCCAGGCGTGGTGGTGCATGCCTGTAATCCCAGCACTCAGGAGGCTGAGGCAGGAGGATCGTTGTGAGTTCAAGGCCAGCCTGGGCTACAAAGTGAGCTCAAGTTTGGCCTGAACTGCATAGCGAGACCCTGTCTCAAAAAGACAAAAAAAATAAAATAAAATTCTTCTCATTAGAGTGCTGATGGATAGGCAGAACCTTCAGATGGGGCCACCGAGAGGAGCCTGGGGTTCTGGGAAGTGATGCAACTCACCTCTGTGGTAAGCAGCTGTCTTCTGGGAGAACCCACAAGGCCCCTTGTGGGGCTACCTTTCAGCCACCAGCGCACTACCCAGCACTACGTCCCAGCCCGCATGGAGGTGTCCCCTGGAGCAGGCTTCTTCTCCTGATTGTCTAGGATTCACCAGCATATCAGCGGGGAACAGGGGCCCGCTGAGCTCTGGGGTGCCCTGCAGTTCTTGCACGGGGTGGGGGCCAGGGCTGAATTGAGCTCCAAAAGAAAGAAAGCCTCCCTGTCCCGGGACCCCTCCTGCTGTCTTGCTTGGGGATTAGTCATTGTGGGGACCACTCTCCTGGAGCCCTTTCCGCTCCCCTTCCCAAGGAGCCCCAGGGCCACCGAGGTGTCCTCTGCTGTGTCCAGCTCTCCTTCCTGGCTCCGTCCCCAGCACTCCGTCAACAAGCCTGTCCCCCTGGATTTGTAGCAGGCTTCCCCAGCCCGAGGCCTACAGCGTCCGCATCTCAACGAGATCCAGGGTGGCCAGTTTCCTGTGCGTTTCAGATAAACAGCCAAGAGTTGTTTTAGGGTCGCCCCCAGGTGGCATGGAACATATTTAGGCTAAAACGTCGCTTGTTGTTCCTCTGAAATTTAGATTGAACTGGTTGCCCTAGAAAGTTTTTTTGTTTGTTTGTTTTTCTCCGGTACTGGGAACCAAACTCACGACCTTGCGCTTGCCAGGCAGGCGCTTTTTGCCGCTGAGCTAAATCCCCAGCCCTGCCCTAGAAAGTTTTATTTACAAGATTTGATGAGTCTGCCTCTATGCCACCTACCTGAGGAAACTCAGACGGAGAGAG